CTACTCATGACCACCTTTACTAGAATATATCACGTTTAATTGTAGGCTTATTTATTGTAGTAGAACTTGTAACTTGTAGAATTTATAATAGGTCATCTGTTTGGGAATAGATTTTCCCTATCAGAATGGCAAAAGTATATATAAAACAGATTAAACGTAATGCACATATAATAGTTACAAAGATCAAATATCACACACTTACTTTTCATTGATGCACAACATCCGTGAAAGTAATAAATATATACTACACGCAACGGCAGAAGTTTAGTGACCGAATTGGCGCTCTGACGAACTCAACTCTCAGCGCCGTGGGCGGGATGCTCGCCTGTGTGTAGATCTACGAATTCTGATTGGCTGCCATGCGGGATGCTGCGCATCTGTCAATCTCGGCAGAAGAAAAAAGACGTGATCAGCACTCATATTATTCAAACAAATTAATGGCCTTTTTAACAAGTAGTCTACAGGTAACGTTAATACACACTAAATTCAAGTAGTCACGCAAAGCTAATGTTGTTAACATTAACATTTTGAGAACAAGGTATAACAATAATAATTTGCATGATTTGATGTGATATGAGCTAAGCGATCTTTTGATTTAATCCCCATTGGTAGCGCGATATAAAGCTTTTTTTCCCTCAGTTGGTCAGAACAAAAATGTCAGACTTGTTACTTACTTGTTCAGTTGACATTTTCCGGTGAAAATTCTTATTTGGGTGATACGTCCAAGACGTAGAATCTGTGATTCCCAAGTACAGCGAATATCCACACTTGTGCGGACATAATCCTTAAAACATTAAATTCATCCGCGCTGAGAAGCCGTTCTGATGCGCAACCCACGTAAAGATAATAAATCTGCAAATAACTGCAATTGCAGGTTTCAAACAAAGATGTCGACAAAGAGGCAAAACTTACGGACTGCAGCTTTAAATACACATTTTTTTCTCAGTAACTGTAAATGATTACAGTTTCATTTATTTTGTAAGTAAATTACTCAATTCCGTTACATGTAATTACTTTCTCACCAAAACTGGTCGAGTGGTTTAATAGAACCTGGAAAAGTAGAAAGTGTAGGTATTTAACAGCTCCATAGACATTCACATAGACACAGGAATACAACAGCAGGCAATGTTATCAATGGTGTGTTTTATGAGGAGGAATTTAAAAAAAATTAAAAAAGTTGTGAACAAAAACAAGACATTTAAGGTGGAAAAATAAGAAGAAACAAGGGTGCAAAACATCTCTGCTTTTACAGTTGCTCGAATAGCCTGCAAAATTCTTGTTAAGGGTTAACCAGAAAGATCTAGTTGATGTACAGATGCCACAAAACCAAAAGGTGTGGATAGGATGCACACATTCATGTTAAAACCAGCCATGATATGCCGGGGGCAGTGTCGTGTACGGAGCAGGTTTGGGAGGTGTATTTAGAGGACACACACCATTACTAAAACGAGGATTTAACATAGCCAAACCACATACACACACACCACATTCAACATTACAGATAATAAGATCAAAAACATCAGAACACAAAGCATACAAGACTCTGAGATTAAAAACTTAACCACTGACTTAGGTCAAGTGTAGGTGATTTGAATAGTGTATCTTCTGGTTAATTAGAATGTGTTGTTGGTGTACTCAGGTGCACTCTTTGTTGTTGTTTTTACCTTTTTTTTAATACATGAATTGGCTGTTCGGGGTGTGGATTTGGTTTTGAAAGAGTTAACTGTATGACTAATATAGTGATTTGGCACCGGGACTCTCAAGTGTTGCACTGTGAGACACACATTGCAACCAGTTCACACGCCACACCTTGTATTTCTCACACTGAGAAGTAACGGATAACTCGTCCCACTATATACAATTAATGGATGAGGCACAGGCATATGGAGGGAAGTTCTTTGCCGAGTTCATAGCTGTCTTGAATTATGCAACGTTAAATTTCACTTTGCCAATTTGTGGTTTCCGGGTAAGTTACGTGATCCAGCTGCAAGCACATTCGTTACTAGGTAACATGGATGCGCGCACACACATGGATTGAGGCTAGAAGGGATACAGCTATGGCCGGAAGTGACGCAAAATCTTGCCATAAAATAACAATAATTTTAATTTGTTACCAATCACATTTTGTTTTTAACATCTACACCTACCCCAATCCTAAACCTAACCCTTAAAATAATGCAAATACAGTAATTATTGTTGTTTAGCATGACAAAAATGAATATTGGTGTGCGCATGCTCAGTAAGCCCTGGTGGCTGTAGCTCTATATCTCTAATAGCCTCAATTGTAGGTAACCCCTTCAGTTTTTAAGCATTTTGATTTTACAATTCCTGGACAAAATTACTTGCCTGTGATCAAAGATAGTGAGAGCTGATGTTGGGGAATATACACAATTGGTTAATGAAAACAAGGATATAATCAAAGGAAAATTTGAAGTTGGGATATCCTCCAAAACCAAAGGCGACACCTTTTTAAAATCACATTATCGTCAAATGTTTCTAAAATGTTTACGTTCTGAGGCAGATTGCTAGCAACAGCCATTTTAGGATAGTTTGTGGTTTGGTTTTAGTGACTTGGGAGTAGGGTTGCAAAATTCCGGGAATTTTCAAGACTGGAAACTTTCCATGGGAATTAACGGGAATATATGGGAATGAATGGGAATAAACTGGAAATACAGTTTTAAAGTAGTTTTTATATACAACAATTTTGTTGTATAAATACAGAACAAAACAGTAATATTGCGCAGTATTACTGGTATTACAATTTAAAATACGGGAATTTTCAAGACTGGAAACTTTCCATGGGAATTAACGGGAATATATGGGAATGAATGGGAATAAACTGGAAATTTGCTAAATTGCAGGAACTGGGGACTTAAATGTAATTGAGAAAAAAATCTTGCAGCATAATCTTGGTTAAAACAACCTGATTTAATGCAATTTGAGTTTCATTTCTACCCTACACAATGCTCAATCACTTGCACACAGCACACTTGCACACTCTCTGAAG